TGTAGGAAAGGAGGACACAAGCTATAAATAATATTCCGTATGTAAACATAATGGCAGTAGCAAATTCTTTTTATTTAAAAATTAATATTGATGTTCATTAATATAAATTACCACATTTCAGATGACTCTGATGTCCTTGAGGCCAGATGTCACTGACTAATTTACAGCTTCCTGGGGGGGAGGAGTAGATCCTGTTTTGTCAGTGTAGGCACCAAATTGCTTCAGATAGCTATTTTGGACTAGATTAATTACTGATGTATTGTCAACAAAGTTGATTCACATCTCAGCTCAGAAACATGGAAAAATCTCTTTAAAACGTATTAACTTGAATTCTGAAATGCAGGAAAAAGAGCATAAAGTAAACCTATGACTTACTGAACTTTTGTTTAATTTAAGGAATAGTGGTTTGAAAACTCCTGCCCAGGAACACGCACACGGAATTTCCATGTGCATCATTAGGAACTGGGGAACATACTTCAGAGGCCAAGTTTAGTCCCTCATTGATCTTAATTCTACTTTAAATATTAATACAAATGTGTACAGTGAAGGGGTTCGGAAGGAAGCTCTGCCATCTTAGTCACACTGCACAGATCGTATATCTGGATAACTTTTGAGTGCTTCGTAGTATCCTTTGGTCCTTTGGACCTTGGGTATAGCATTGCTGCAAAACAGGATAGCAAATGTATTTGCAGAACCTTCAGCAGCCTCCCGGAAACCTCCTCACCTGTGAGAACACTGGTGGGCGATGCCTCAGAAGGCAAGTAGGGTGGATTTGTTGTGTTTGCATATGCTGTCAGGTTAAAGAGGGGAAAAAAACCAAAGGCAGGCTGGTTTGAGTCACTGTGAGACAGTGCATCTCTGTCCATTAGTTATTCATTCAAATTCAACCACATGAAATAAAGGCAGCTAACAAACCATACCTTGTAAATGCCTTTTACTCCAGCAACTGAAGTTCAGCGCGTCTGTAGGTGTGCAGCTGGGCATGCTTAGCATGAATGGCAAACTAATGTAAATCCTGTATTAAATAGTTTGGTTCATAGCAAATCTCATGTATGAACACATGTAAGAGAGAAGTCTGTGCAGGTCTCCGGTAGCATTAGGTCCTATGGCATACAATTAGAAACTACACGGATGATAGGAATGTAGAGAGTAACGCACAAAGAATACCCTTTTTTAAATGCATCTGTCATTCATACAAAATCAAATCCATATCCATTGAAAGGCTTTGAAAGATGTTACAAGGCTTTAGAAATGGTCCGTGCTGATTTTTTCCAATCCTCATAAATAATTATTTTCCTCTGTTTGGTAAGATTAGCTACAGAGAATTTATATTAAGTCTCTGTGGAGAGGAGTACAGAATTTCAGTTAATATTAAGCTGCAAAGGTGGCTTTAAAATATTTCTGTGATACAAAAGCCTTGTATCACAGAGGCAAACACACCACCCCCTCAGTCTCTTTTCTCATTTGTGAAATAGCTAAGCGCAAACTATAAATTCTAATTTTCAGCAAGTATGTTAGTAAATCCAAACTGACCTTGACCTTAGCTTTGCTAATTTCCAAACTCTGATATTTATTCCCCGAGTAGATTGTTTGCCTTCATACCACATACATAAATACTGCAAACCTTTCCAATGACTTGAATTAGAGTGTAAGTAAATAGCTGGTTTTAATCTACATAATATTTTGAGAGCAGACGTTCTGTGCTATGACTATTAAGATATACCCAGCAGCCATTTGTATAATACTAAAACCTCTTACATATATTATTAAAAGTAATGCTATCAGCCAGGGCTTGTTTTATGCCACAGAACCTTAAATAATAAAATACAGTGTGGATAAAATCTGCAATAATAGTAACTTAAGCAAAATTAATTTAAGTAACAGATAACATCTGGGGGAAAATGTAATGGTATATTGGTAAGTTATGCAAAGCTAATTTTATAATAACTACCACATCTGTGGAACTCATTTATTAGAACACTTTACCAATCTTCTTTCCTGCCATTATTCTGTTTTAGAAATTTTCCTGTACGCTTTTTTATTGTCTTTGCTCTGCCTACATTTGTAAAAAGGTAATTTGCTAGCTCTCAACAACAAGAAAAGTGTGTGAGTTTATGTACAGGACAACATGACACTTCTTATACTTCCCTCTCTTTACGCACGCTTTTATGAGGAAGAATTGCAGAGAAAAATCGTGGCATGGGGCTGTACATTGAGAGCAATGCTTGAACACCAGCTACCGCCCTCAGCTGTGACTACGCCGAGGCTCAGTGCAACCGGGGTGGGAAAGTAAAGGTGACACTGAATGCTGTTCCCCGCATCCACCTCTGCGGAATGTTAGGGCAGCCTCTCGCCTGCTCTGACTTGTCCAGATTCAAGTGGGCTTTTGGCAGCCCACCACACCTAGGAATTAGTAAGAATACTGCATTTAACTCCTGCTCCCTCTAGTCTCTTTCGGAGCATCCTTTCATCTGTGGCTGACACTGATATGCCCTCTACATTTGTGCAACTGCTTTATGATTGCTTTATGTTTGAATTCTCACACACCCATTGGACTGCAATGTGCAGGCAAATATTGCCAATTAATTGTAAGGCATTATCATCTTGCCAAACTGTTTCTCACATTTCAATAGTTATATTGATTCAAGAGGACACTTGCAGTAATACGTCTTTGTCATAGTGAATAACGCTCACATAATGACAAATCTTCAGGAATTAAAAAAAAGGAGGATGAATTTTTTAATGTAGGTCACTGGAAGTAATTCACCATAAATTTACTCAGACTTCAGAAACTAGCAACATTTTTTAAAGCTAACTGTAACTGTATAAAACTTACTGTGTCTCCTTCTCTGTTTTTAAATAGATTTTACTACAGAGCCATTGGTGCTATTAAACATGAGGTTTTGTTCAAAGGAAATACAAAGACTTAATTGTATTTTTTAAAGGAAAGTATTGCATCAGAAGGATTCATTTAAATACGTTTGTTGGCTTCGGGCTCTCACCACAATTCATTCGTTCTAATTTTCCCCTGGACTTGTTAAGGACAAAATGTATAGGAAGGAGCAATGCAGAATGGCATTTTTAGGTCACTATATTTTGGCTGTAAACTGTAATACTGCTCATAAACTTATTATTACTAAACAAAATACTTCATATTCTACATTGAAGTTTCACAGTCTTTTAAAAAACTTTTGGCTAAATGTTGAGACTATTATGGCTCATTAAAGAGACTAGTTCTGCTGTAATTTAGTTATTTCTTAATGATCCAAGGGTTATTATTAGACGCGGAACAGATGAGTAAAGAATGGCTCTCTTTAAAAGGACGCAGTGAAGTAAAAATATAATTCTAAAACAGAACCTCTGAAAATCGTGTCCGTGCTACAAAAATGTATTTGATCAGCCAGGAATTGGTTTTAAAAACCCTGTCTAGTTTTTTACATTATTTCATTTTTAAAAAATTTGAACTGGAGGGAATAAATGGAATAATGATTTAATCTAGATAAAGAAAATATTTTGAGTGAATAGTTAATAACTAACCAAAAATATTATTTTAAGGAAGCAGAAAGTAATTGTGAATTCTCATCCAATTCAACTAATATTTTTTAATAAGAAAATAGAAGGTGAGAAATCAGAGAAAATGTAAATATTTGCTAAATCCAAATTGCTCTAGTTTAAAAAAAATACAATTTTAAAAGAAAGCTTTTTATTTTAGAAAGAATAACATTTAGGTCAACATAAGGCTTTTTCATTTTAATGCAAAAACTATCTGACTATCTCAAAGATAATGACAGAGTCAAACACAACTTCTGAAATGCTTTTAGGACTACAAAAGAAATTTTTAATGCAATGAAGTACAATGGCTAGGTCTCACTGTTTATTTACAATTTTTGCTATCACTTTTGCAAATGTGCAAACCTTTAATATTTTCAGCATGTTTAACTGTAGCAAGTAACGAAATAAACCAAATATCAACCTCACTATGATTTCAAAGGTTTGAGGAAATTAATTTATGGGAACTGCAATTACGCTGATGTGAATTAATGTAGTTGGCTTGCACCATCCAAGCAAAATCTTGTTTGTAATAGCTGACTCAGAACTGGAACATCTGCCTGGTATTCTCGGTGGGCTCTTCCCATTGTAGAGGACCTACACATATAATTTTAGTATTATACCTTCTTCCTTGCTCCTTCAAAATGCCTTTTGTCACCCTACTTGGCATGTATGTTCTGTCATCCATTTTAAAAAAAACAAAACCAAACAACACAAACCCTTGTCCCTTTAGAGGACGCAGAGCTGCCTTCTGCATCACTCCTGAGAGCCCGAGCAAGGACTAAGTGCTGCATCCAGCTACTCTGGGGCGGAAAAGCCATTTCCTTGGCAGAGCATTCCTGGATCCGCAGTTCACACGCCAGCAGAATACCAGTGAGGTTCCCATGTTCACAGGAAAGAGAAATGGGAGCAAGTTGATGAAGCAGCAAAACTTGGACCGTTAGCAATTCTTAAATTATAGTCACATATTAAAACATTTTTCTTAGGGCCTTATTTGATGCAGTGTCACTACAACTGTATTCCAGCTGAGTCCTTTGAAAGAATACCCCGGTGGTCAGCCGGGCCCTTTAATTCCAAAATGCAACAAGATCCCTGTTCAGAAGTGACAAATTTGCATTGGGAAGACTGCATGTTACCCAAGCTCTGTGTTTTCTAAACTTAATTATCCACATGAGTAAGAAGCTGTAGTGTTATGAAATTATGAAAATCATCTGTTCTTTCCAAGTATTATAAAGAGGGCCCCTTGAGATGCAGCTAGAAATTAAAGCTGATCTATAATCATTTTCAGTACGTTTTCCAGTTCTGAGCACCTGGATAGTAACAAAAAAGGTATTGGTTTTTGTTGTTTGCAAGTAATTTCATTTCCATTTTAAAAAATCTGCAATAAACCTCTAAGCAATAATTAAACCTGAATTACTTTTTTGTTTTCTGTTTTTTCTTAATATTGCCAGTATGTGGTTGAACTTGCCCAACCTGAAGCTCCCCCCTTCCCTGCTCTGCCGGAAGAAGGCATACCTTCGGGTATCTATTCGTCATTCATAATATCACCAACAATTGCAGAGGCAGAATCTCAGGTATAGAGTTTTGTTCCTTTTGTTTTGTTTTTTTTCTAAAAGCTATTTTTCTATGAGTCTCCTAACCTCATTTATTCCCATTGGAGCCCAGTCACTAATGCTATTTATTCCCCAGAGTATAGCATGTGTTCTCTTCTGAGATTGAATGAAGTTGCTTTTAATGCATTAATCAGTCCACAAAGGATATTTGAGTCAGCACCTCTGGGCTCTTTCCCCTTGCACCTTCATAACCTCAGGATCTGCCTGGCCTGGGCAGTGAAAGAGGGACACTGACGGTCTCTGTCAGAGCGGGAGTTCTCAAAAGCAGCCTTAGTGTATTTTTGCATGTCTTTGGGCTGATGCTGTTTGGTCTTATAGAGAGCAGGAGGATGTTCTAACTCACGTCTTTCCTGTGGTTGGTTGCTGCTAGGGGTCTGATCATGAGGAAGAGCCTTGTCCAGAGGTAGAGTCCTTCGAGGCAGACGCTGTGGCTGGTGTCACTACTGAAGATCAGAAGTCTGCAGTGGGTGAAATCCCAAATGAAATTATTGGCAACCTCGAGGTACTATTACTAGAAAGTTATTCGCTAATTCTGTCTATGGTTAATTAGCTAGCTGAGCCTTAATGAATATAAACTGTATTCATGCTTAAGCTGGCAAAAAGCACATCCATATGCTGTAAAATTGTGAATTAGCCTCTATAAATAACTCCTAGTTTAGTCAGCTTATATGTGATAAGATAAAAAATATTCAGTAATATAACAACATATATCTTCAGCATTACTATGTGTTAAGAAACATGGACCAAATCCTGCTGTCAGTGATGCCGGTAATAAAATTCCTTTTTGGGCGTTCAGGATCAGCTGCTGCGATGGAGTATATGCAATGTGTGCTTAATATAAATTGTTAGAGGCATCTATGTTACACATCCTTCAATCTGTGTAAGCAATAATACATTTATGCCAATTCTGGACTTCATTTGACAGGTGCATAACTATACAAGAGCTGCCTTAGTGGAACAGGTGAGGTTTCAGTATGTGGTCTGCAGACTCTGAGCAGTCCATGAGTCCTTTCTGTGGGGTTCATGAAAGGGAAGGAAGCTATTGTCAGTGGACTTAAATTTGTTGTAGGGTGATCTGCTTCTCTACAGGGAGGTCCATAAATTGAAACGTGTGGAAAGACGGCAGAGTAGATCATTGTTATTTTGTAAACTGCTTCCTCAAGCATACGAAATTATTAAAAGCAAACCAGCTAGAACTCCATTCCACCCAGGAACTGGTGGAATTTGGTCTTGTTTGCAACAACCGGGTGGCATTAGGCACTTTAAACTTTTGATGCTGCACATTGGACACTGTTGACCGGGCCATAGTTTATTAACTATCTGATATGGTCTGAAATAGTGCGATATTGATAAATCACTTTACATGGATTATAGATGAATGGGGAATATAGATTGAAATAATAATGCCATCATTAGATGTACCTATTTGATTTCATATTCCATTTCAACATGTCTTTAGAAAAAGGAGGGGGAACCTGGCCTATGTTGTCTTATTCCTGTCCCCATCTACATAAAAAATGAAATGCCCAGTTTTCACTTGACCTTGATTTCATTAGCGTCAGTGCTAAAAGCTCTTTTTCTTTACAAGAACTGCATAATTAGAAAAAAATGCTTTTTATTATTCTTCTTTTGAAACTCTGGTTATATACACAGACAATAATTTCCTTTTAGTTTTTAAAAGTCCTCCACTAATGTATCACCTGATTTCTCATTTTGTTGACTTCTGAGGTAATCTTATAATTGGATTTTTACCTGATACCTGGTCAAACTCATACCATTCTGTTGTCATGTGTGAACTGTGATTTCACAATCTGCATTACATCTCCAGGGGACACGAGGCATCTCTTGCTCTAGTTGAGTCTAGAAAATAACTTCTAGTCTGCAATCACAGTGCTGACGCTCAGTGATCTCAGCCATGGTGAGTAAGGTGGCAGCTGATTTTCACTGAAGGTAGAATCAGAGACAGAGGGATATAAAAACTGGAGAAGAAAAGGCAGCTGGGGTGGCTGGGAGAGGAATAGTCTGGAGGATGAGTTCCACAGCAAAGCAGCTAAGTATACATATGATGTAAAGGGATAGCAGCTAAGTATACATATGATGTAAAGGGCCTGTACATGCATATACATATGATGTAAAGACCTATCTGTTGATGCTTGAGGATGGATTGAACATGGTGAGGGCCGTGTCTAAAGATACAAAGTTGAGGTAGAGATTCCAGCTTTTTGATGCTAATCTGAGCTACTGAGAACTTTGAAAACATTTTAGCTGTGATTATCCACTGGTAGGTTGCAGTATAGCACTAGTAGGGATTTTTAGGACTGGCATGCCGAAAAGTTCCAAAAAAGGCAAATTACTGCAAGCTTTTCTAGGCCAAATCAATTCACTTTATCAAAATTACATGAAGTCCATTAAGAATGTAACTTTAAGTTTTGGATCAGTTTGTGTGGAGTCTGTAAAGGACCTTTGAGCCCGTTCCAGTTGTTTGAACAAAACTTGTGACTCTTGGAAAGACTGTTATTGTACTCTTTCCATTCCTCATGTGTTTTTGCTGTGATGAATGCTGATATGGGGAATTTATGTATATTTCTCAATAAACCCCCAGTATTTGTGGCCTTTTTTCCAGTGATCCCACATTGCCAAATGCTGTAGAATTAACAATTGCTATGCATTAGCACTGCCAAAGATTTCACTACAGTGCTTGTACCTTCCCCACAAATGTTACTCTGGAAATGAAACACTCAGTGTCTACAGCAGTCTGGGTTTCTAGAATGAGATACACATTCATAATTGTGTTTGTAATTAAGAAAGACAAGCAACATCATAGAAATATGTTTTTTTATTGTTCATTTTCAGTAATGCTTTCTAATTTCAGCAGTGTTTCAATAAAATGTATTACACTAGAGAACAAACATCTGCAGCAAAGGAAAACAGTGGCAACAACCAAATCCCAAAGCAATTTTTCTGATTTGGTGTTTATTGGTAAAGGCTGTCTGAGAATAGAGGCAAATTAGCCTATCTCCCAAGACAAGGTTACATGAGAAATGGCTGTCCCAGATCACTTCCTGTTCATGGCAGTCATACCATACATCGGGATTGTGCACAGTAATATGATAAAGTGTTATCACGTAAGTACAGGCTGAAACACCGTTCTGTCTGCAAAACAGGAAGGTGTGTAGGATAATGTCTGTCTTACTGCACTACAGTGTGTCAAAACCACAAAGACAATGTGCAGCCTAAGATAGCTCCATCACAACCACTTTTTTCTTCTGATTTTCTCTACAGGCAGAGATAAATGAAAAACTGGAACTGCAAGAAGCAGCTTATACTTTGTGAACGGAAAAATTAAAAAGGCCTAAATAGCCAGATAAGAAAGGTGATGTTGAATTTTACAGAAATTGGACAGTAGGGGATGGCGTGCACACAAGACTGGCTCCCTGCCCGAACGTAATTATTTGTGTATAAAGGAAAATGGTTCTGTTAACATTTACCTAGAAATAGTTCATCCCAGTTCCTCAAATTTACTGTGTTCTGCCAGTGTTGTTATTTAGTTTAGACTTAAGTAGAAGATTATAAACAGAAGGATATGTAATTAAAACATGTTGAAGTTCAGTTTATTTCTGAGTAGAAATCCTAATTTAGAAAAAAAAAAAATCGCTCTAGTTTCATTCTTTTTTTTTTTTTCCCAGTTGTGAAATATTTAACAGTTTCTACTTTACACCTATGGCTTTTTTCAGGTAGTTTTGCTAGGAGAATACATAGAGAGAAAACATCATTTTGAGGCACTGCAGATATAATATAAAGAGACTTTGATTAACATGTAATTACACACTTTTCACTGTAGTTATTCATTAATCATATGTATGTGATTTCATTTTAACTTGTTTCCTAAGCTTTAAAACAAATTTCATATATTACACTACTTTATTTCCACTGTATTAAAATTCCACAAATGAAGAGTTTGCACTTTTACAGTGTTCTCAAGAAAAGCTCCTTGTGATTTCAGTGGAAATTTTTCTGGAATGCATGTAACCTTTCATCTGAGAATGTTTCCATATTTTGTCAGACGTTACAGAAATATTTCAAAGTCAAAAGGAATCTGACCAAATACATGACCTCAGAAGAACTGGTTTAACATCTATGTTTCACAATCGTAGCCTGTACTAATTGTTATGTTGCAGAACTCTGTGCCCTAGAAAGCATGCTGAATGCAAGTCATGCTTTCAAGCGTAAAGGCTGGATTGGATTACACATTTAGTGGAATATTTGAGAAATAGAATGTTTTATTCATCACGACTTCATATTTGTTTCCCATTAAGTAAAGAGTTAGTTTTTGTTTCATTTCATCCCCATTTTTTATGGTGATAATGAAAAAAAGGTTGCAAGCCTGACTCGAGGGGGCACCGCCTGCCCGCCCGCCGCTGCCCCAGCCCCGGCCGGCGGTTTGAAGCGGGCAGGGTATTTCGCTTGGTCTCAGGCCTGGAGGAAAAAATTTCTTCCCCTCGTACGTGATCAGGAGCGGTAAGCTCCAGAACAATCCGCTTGCAAGTTTTTCTCGATTGCTCTTTCCAGCGCTGGCCAGCTAATTAGCGAGAGCTTCCTCTCGGCTATTAAAAGCTAACTGTTCTGCTTTGAACACTGAAGGATTATTAGTTTTACCTTTAAAAAAAATCTTTTGAAAATATTTTAATCTTCTACAGTTGTTAAGAGTCCTGGTTATGTTCTTTGTTGTTTTATTGCTTTGATATATGATTTTTTTTTTGTTATCAAAACTTTCTGAAATCAAAATGTCCTTTATTTTGATACATAAATTCATCTCCCAACACATTATGCTAATGTCACAAGTTTCGCTGGTTTTGAACTCAAAGGTGAGAACAGAACTTCTGAAGAGAGCTGTCCGTATGAAAAAAAAAAGAGTATTTGAAATACTTTTTAGTGAAAATGTGTTATTGGCAATTTAGCATTGTTTAGCACTTCAGACTTAAATCTGAAGACTACGTTCCTGCTATAGCACTGAGCAGTGAGGGACTATGATTTATGTTAAGACCAATGCTAAACAAAGGCTTTTGCCCATATCTCTTCCTCCCTCTCCCAGATTTTGTAGAACCTCTGGGAAATTTTAAAGTGCTTTGAAGATGAGAAATTGTATATGAACATTGAGTATTACTGCAATGATTTGTTAGCGTTCAGTCTTAGTACATATGCATAACAGCTGAGGTATTGCAGAAATTCACAGTGAAGTTCAAATCCCACAAACTGTATTTGTAACTATCTTCCTGCT